AATTCAAAAGAGTCACCGAATGTCTAACAAATTCAAAAAAAATACGAAATCTTTTAATCTTTCACATATGAATGAAAAGGTCTGCTGATGTTGATTATGAGAACAAAAAAAATTTTATTTGAAATAAAATAAAGTTTTATAATTACTTATTTATTTTTACTTATTATTAGATATTTACTGAAGAAATAAATTTTCTTAATATTATTACATTTTTTTCAGCACATATCATAGAATTTTCATGATATTTACAAGTATTTATATTTATATTTTTAATATATAAATTCTTTAAATTTGGACAATTTATATCATCTAAATTATATAAAATAATATCGTATCAGAATGAACGTTGAATCCATCTGATTTTCTCCAATCCTTTATCATAGAATATATAATTTTTTCTTTTCATTAATGAATGGTTATATTCAATAACAGCCATTAAATTCGAATCACCATCTTCCCATTTTAGTCCATGATGATTATGATATAACCAGTTGTTAGTTGTTTTATCCCGTATCGTTAACTTAAGATTCTTCAAAAGGAGGTTGAACAAGAAACGTTGTTACATGTGAATCATAGGTTGATATGCTGACTTCTTTAGCAATAAATTTCTTATTAAAATAGAATCCCTGAACGTCTATATATTCCTCTAACATTATATAGATTGAGCTTTTTTTAAATTTGCTTAAAAAATAGTCTTATGAATTTCTATAAAAGTTTATATTATTTTTTTAGAGTGTAATCAAATCCTATTTAAATAATTGTGAACATAAGTATGTATTAGAACCACCAATTTTATTAACTAATCGATCACACTCCGCTGAGTAATGAAAACCAAATTAATCTTTTTATATACTACATTTTATTCTTTTTATATGTCATATGAATACGGTAAATCCATATTATAGTATTAAAAGTTAGGAAATTTCCATATCGATATCATGTTTATAACTTTTAATATCAATTAATGTGATATCTGAGCGTAGTGTGGTATCATCTCCAGTAACAATTACAATTTCACCGTTACTTAAAATTTTCTCGAATGCAACCTGGCGATCTCAGTATATCCAGTAAACAAACTTAGTTATTTTTTTTCATACAGGCTCGAAAATATGCGAGTAACATTCAAATATCGTCGCTTGGATGGAAAATTGCCGGAAGCGTCATTTTGACAATTTGTGGTTTTTGGATATCTTCTTTAGTTTCCGAGTAATTGACTAAAATGTTTTCGGCTATTTGGTACAAATTGCGTTAGTATTGCTGTCGTACTAAACTAATCAAAATCTTTCAAATAGAGTTATCTGTTCTTCTTTAGTTTCCGACATATTCAGCTTTATCATGAGTTTCATTTCCTAGAACCGGGTCACTTTTT